TGACCGCGCCGCCTCAGGGGTGACCGCCCCGCCTCCGGGGTGACCGCGCCACCTCCGGGGTGACCACACTACCTCCGGGGTGACCGCCCCGCCTCCGGGGTGACCGCACTACCTCCGGGGTGACCGCCCCGCCTCCGGGGTGACCGCCCCACCTCCGGGGTGACCGCGCCGCCTCCGGGGTGACCGCCCCGCCTCCGGGGTGACCGCCCGGCCTCAGGGGTGACAGCACCGCCTCAAATCCCACCACCGATTCTCCGTCTCCGAGTATCCTCCGTCAGCCACCGACAGTCCGGCACACGGCCTTCTGGCACACGGCACCCGCAGAGCTGCCCCTGGGGGGCGTGCAGCCAGGGCGGGGGCAGGGACGCTCCCCCCAAACAGCCCCTTGTCTGGAGGTGCTCGGCTTCCCGCCTCTCACAGCGGCGACAGCGGGTTCGCGCTCCCCAGCGGGGCGGGCGCGCCTGTGTCTGTGTCGAAGGGCGCTCAGCAAGGCCCGCACGCGCACGCCCGAGCGTATGGCCGTCGCCTGCGCCCTCCGGGCACCCCGCGCCCTCACGGCCCGGGCTCTTCTGCCCAGCACCGAGAGCCACTTCCTGGCCGCAGTGGTGGTGGTGAGGTCAGCGAAAACCACGAGACCTGCCCGGGGGCCTTCCAGTGCCCCCGCCTGCTGCTCCCAGCTTGGAGCGGGTGAGTGACCTGCCCAGGGCCAAACGGCCGCCAGCTGAAGGCTGAGCCTGGGCTGCCCGGTCCGCTCTGCCTCGGCACAGGGCCGTCACCCGGGAGGGCCCGAGGCTGCTGCTGCGGGCAGTGTCCTGGCCACGCTGACCTGGCGGCCAGGGGGCCAGTTGCCACCAGGTGCCTGGGTCCCACCACACCTTCAAGGCTCCAGTCAGGACGGGGTCAGCTCAAGTTCTCAGCTGTTACATTCTGCCGGACCGGGCAGCGCCAGCCCAGCGGCAGCACAGACGGCTGATGCCCGGCACCGCGTGCGGCGGGCAGCTTTGTTACACAATGCAGGACAGCCAGCAAGTCAGAGGGCCCCCAGGGGTGCGGCTCAGAAGTCCTCCAGAAGTCGCCAACCCCCAGGGAGCAAGAACCCCGCTGAGGGCTGAGGACTAGAAGCTTCTACCTGCCACGCCCAGAACTGGCCTGGGGGAATCACCTCAGGGAGAGGTCTGCAGCTCTGGGCTCGAGGGCAAGGCTTCAGAGTGACCGGGCATGTCTGCCGGGCGAGGGCCACCTTGGCCTCTGTACAGGCAGGGGTCCTGTGCGCCCCCTGCCCGGGGAGCCGGGAACAGGCAGGGAGCAGGGACCCCCTGCCCGGAGAGCCGGTGGCGGCTCCCCTACGCACCTCGGCGGACTCCAGGCCACCACCGCAAGGCCTGGCCACTGTCCAGCGCCCTCTGCTGAGGACAGAGGCCTGCGGACTGGGAAGGCTCCTGCCTCTCCGGCAAAGGCTTAAAGGCAGCCACGGGGAGCGGGCAGCATTGACGCAGCTGCCCACGTCCCGCGGGACACGGTCAGGGGGAGACCTGGCGCCCCGAGCGCCCCGCAAGGCCCCGGCGAGGGAGTCGAGCTGAAACTCCACCGCGGCGACACCAGGCCTCTGCTCGCCCGTCTCAGACTCTCACGGCTGCTCGTGTGCTCGCGTCTGGCCTGCGCCACACGCACCCCGGAGCCGCCCGGCGGCCCCCGCGCCCCAGAGCCCAGCCGCACTCACGGTGAACAGGTTGGAGCGCCGCTTGGACTGCTTGCGCACGGGCGTGGGCGTGCTGGCGGCGGGGGGCGCGTCTATCCGCAGCTCCTTCTGGCTGGTGCTCGGGGTCGACGGCACGGAGGAGGAGTAGTCGCTCAAGCTGCCGCCGCCGTTGCTCGTCTGCAAGACGGGAAAGCGGGGCCCTCAGGCCGCGCCGGAAGCCGGGCCCCGCGGGCGGCCTCCGGGCACGCGGGCGCTTCTGGCACGTCCCGGTCACCTCTGCGTGGCTAAGACTCGTGACTTAGGAGAAAGACATCTCCGCGACGTCACTACAAGGCTGAGCTGAGTGAGCTACTTTTGCTATTCCTGAGAGGCGAGGTCGGCACCCTGCCTGCTGCCCAGCGGACGCAGAGCGGCGCCGCCTCCCGCCGGCCACAGCTCCCATTTTGAAAGACAACCCGAAAGTCGGGCGCCCTCCGAGGCTACCTGGCAGCTCCCCCGGGGGCAGGCCCCGGGCGCTTCCCAGCCCGCGCCCTGCGAGGAGAGCAGGCCACCCCTGCCCGCTGCAGGCCCTGGGCAGGCACCGCCGGAGCGGACGCCCAGGTGTGCCGACAGGTGTCGGGGGAGATGCACAGACTGAGCAAAGCCGACAGTCTCCTGGAGGGTTTGGGTCCTTCCGAGGGACCATTACTGTGCCGGCCTCCCAGGAGATATTCAGCGGCACGTGGTCAGCACGGGCGGCAAGGACGACGCCCATGAAGCCGCTGCCCACAGCTGCATCCCGAGGCGCGGAGGCGGGTGCCCGCCGCTGCTGCTCGAGAAGCTGAACGGAGAAGTGCTCCGCTCTGGACGGGAGGCCGCCCGGGCACTGCCGCGGCCACGCACCTGGCTGATGTGCGCAGCAGACACCTGCGCGGAGCAGACGGACGAGTGGCTGGGCGAGCTGGGCAGGGACTTGCAGGGCCCGATGGACAGCTGCTGCTTCTTCCTGGTGGCGACGATTTTCTGGGCAACTGGGGACACGAGACACAAGAAACCAGGTGAGGCTGCTGCCTGGCCAGGACGCAAGCAAGGCTGCTGACCGCCGCCGTCCACGCTTCCCTGCTCGGAGGCAACAGAACCCCGGGTTTCCAGCTGGGCACGAAAAGCCAGGGAAAAGACGGCATTTCCCGACCAAGTCTCCTCCGGCCGCCCCGCACCTCAGGCGACCGGTCACGCAAGGGGAGCAGGGGCCGAGCTCACAGGCCTCTCCCTCGAGGGCCCTCGGCTTCCCCATCAGGCTCCCTTCAGGAGGCTCACAAAGCACCCAGGGCCGATGCCCGGAAGGTGAAACTCAACACACCCTCCTGTCTGTGTACATCATTCTAGTGAACACTCCTCTGCCCGCCCCCAGTTATTTGCAGCCAAGAGTCATGCTAAATAAGACAGGGACATTCAGCCAGGACCCCTGGAAGTCACCACTCCGCTGCTGGCAGGACGTGAAGAACACCTCTGGACTCCACGGGCGCAGAACGACAGTCAAGGACATGCAATCCCACCACAGGCTTGCTCTTTTATTCTAATGTATGGCTACATGCATCGGAAGTTCATCGTAATCAATACAAATCTAAATTCAACCAGCCATAACCTGCCTTCGCAAGTAGGCTCGCTGATGAAGCATACTGGATTTAATTGGAAAGGAAGTCAGCGATTAGCAAGCTCTTCCCACACCCAAAGGTGTCACTGCGGATTTCACCTGGCTGGATCGTGTCTTTGGAGACCGCCTGTCATCCAGTTCACCACGCCGACGCCCCCTGCCGAGCGGCCACTCTCAGGGGCCCCACGCCACGGGGGACGGGCAGGCGCGTGGGCCGCGCCGCGGCCACAGATAATTTCTCTCCAAATGAGTACAGTTTTAAAGAGGAACTGGTTTGTCCAGAGCTTATGGCTTTCATGTAAATGAATGATAGTATAAATATGATGAAGCGAAAATGCAATAGATAAAAAATGGCTCGCAGAGACGAGCGGCAGCTTCATTAGTTACTCCCACCTCCAACAGGCCTCTCATCATCCTGAAAGGATGATATCAATTAATTAATCTTCCCACAGCGTATTGATCATAACCTTCATCAGCTAATCACGTGTAAATTACAGAGGAATATCGCGGTACTCTGTCATTTCAAAACCATCGGCGTATCGATCTGGGGTTTGAAGGCGAAGATTAGAATATTTTAAAAATCATTATGTGAACTTAAAAATAAAATCTCAGCTCAGAGTCAAACAGCGGCAAATCCTGTCCTGGAGGTGACCTGAAATTCCTTAGACCAAAAGTGAGGTGACGTCAACTCACAATTTTCAGGGGATGGCAAGTTCTTTGTTTTTCTGAGAGAAGAGAACGAGATGGGTCAACAGCCACCGCCAGGAGTTTTTACTTCACTGCCGGCCTCAGCCGGGCGCCCACAGGGGCGGAGGCTCCAGCCCGAGGCGCGGGGTCAGCGGGCGGCCCTGCCGGGATCAGGCCTCTCCTGCTCATGTCTCCTGAGCTAACGGGGCTCGCGGAACGTTCGCGGCAAGTCAGGTATGTGGCCAAACCCTCCTTTCCTGGAAACCCAAATGCCAACGACTGTCCACGCCGCCCACCTCGCAGCTAGGTGGGGTTCTCGCCCAGGGACCACCCGCAGGCCAGCCGGGTGCGGCCGAGTCCAAGGCTAGAGCCAAGAGACGGGCTGGCCCCAAGCCGGGCCCCAGCAAGACGGGCTGCCCGGCACCTGGGACAGCGGGAGGGGCGACGTCATGGCGGCGTGGGGCACTGCCCGGCCGCCCTGCGGGCTCACAGCCGCCCAGTCTCTCCGTTGAGCCCGCTGCGGGTGGCTGTGTCCACCCTCGTGCCAGCTCATGCCAACGAACGGAAGGGTGAGTGCGAGGGGTCAAGACAGCCTGCGCTTCCTGAAGAGCCTGGGGTCCCGGCCCTGGGGTGGGGCCACTTGGGGACACACCTCGCCGCGCCACTGCCCGGATAGCAAATGCTGTCGGAGCAGGGCGCGTCCCCCCCGACACCGTCAGATTCCACGGACTCTCCCTGGCTCTCCAGACCACAGAGCGCCGCGGAAACAGTCCTCCGGGCGGTGAGACTGCAGGCGGACAGCAGATAAAGGCCCTTTACTGACCGGCTGCCGGCACGTCTGTCCGGCCGCCCCAGGGCTGGAAGCCCAGCGGTGCCCGGGCTCCCCGGGCTGGGCTGCACCGGGGCCCGCCGCCCGCGGCCCGACCACCCTGCGCCCCTCAGCACAGCCCCGCGCCCGGGGGCCGAGAAAGGCAGGTTTACTTTACACCCTCAGCAGCAAGGACCGGGAGTTACACATTTACTTTCTCCGCAAACTTTAATTCTCTGTGGGGCAGGTGATCAATGATTCCTTTAATTAGGGGTAAAAAAGAGGTGCTCAGACCCTCCCAAAGAAGATCTCAGTAAATCCTGGCATCGGCCCGACATTCCGCTCCTGCTTCACTTTTCAAAGTCATCTGCTCTTGATGAGGAAAACAGCAGAATCTACGGCCCGGCATCACCCCCGCCGGGGCCCGAGGCCGTCTCTGTGGAAACTTCAGGTCTCGCCACGGTGCCCACGGCCCAGTTCACACTAGGGCCCCCCGCAGAAGGGGCCGGGGCCCAGGTGGTCGCCCCGCGGTGCGCCCGCCCCCCGCGGCCACGAGCGCCGGTCCTCAGCCGCATCCGCACGGCCCTTACTTTACCTGGCCCCGTATTCCAGACCGGTGTGCTGCCACGCCCTTGCACACACCCACCCACACGTCACCACGTCAGGGCCACGCTGAAGGGCTGGCTCAGCCGGGCGGCTCGGCACGGGGCGGTCACGTGGGCCCGGCTGGGGCG